TGTCACACAGAGGAACACTCTGCTCTGGATGGTCTATGTATTATTGGGGTCGGTAACACTCAACAGAAGTCCAGTCCAGGCCTCTGCCTTAATGCTGTGTCCCCTGTGCCTGGGGGATCTCAGTACACCGGGGCTCTTCTGCTTCTAGCCTGTGCCTGCTGAGTGAACCCTGGAAACAGGCTCAGAGGTTGACCTGACCGAGGGCACACAGCCCAGATCTTCCGCCTTCACAGCTGACACTACCTACATCATGCATTCATTCCTTGTAGTGGCTGGGTTCAGTTATTAGTAAGGAACTACAGTCACTACGTGACTAACTGACATCTGGGTCCTTGATATTTTTGCAGGCAACTGTCAGGGAGTCTCCCTGCAAGCATTTCACGGTACAGCCCCGACCTGGAGACGGTTAGTCCTGCAAGCACCAAGTGTGACTACTACCCGGTCATCGTTTGTATAGGAGGGGCTGCTCTGTGCTGTGTTCAACAGTAAACTCCCCGGACACTCCCAAGAGGTGCCGAAGCTGGGAAGAGAGCCCATGTGGGCCCAGGTGCTCTCGTCAGAATTCATCTGGAGATCCACACAGAGGAAAAGGCAGTGGGCGGGGAACCACTGCAGCCCAGAGTTTGCTGCCTGTCACTCACTGGCAAGCCAGCTGCCACTCAAGCCAAGTGGGCGTTCCTTCTCACGTTGTTTTCTGAAATAAGTCCTAAGGAGTTCGGGAGGGACTTTTTAACAAGCAAAACAGAGAAACGGAGAAACTCTGGGGCGGATCCCAGGGTTGCCGAGGTTCTCTAGTCTACCCATCGTTCATTGGATGAGGGAACGAGGCCCAGAGATGCTGTTACTAGTTCAAGATCACAGCAGAAAAAGCAGTGGTGGAACCTGCCCAAGCCAGGCACTCTAACAGAGCCCAGAGCAAGGCACGCCTACAGGTTCCACCAGCTGCCCAAGTCTGTCTTCAGTCTCCAGGGCTTTTGAAGATGAGGAAAGTTAGATTCTCCCCAATCATGGAATTATCTACATGACCTTGCGTGTGCCATTCCTGTCTTGGCTTTCCTTTCCTGCAGGAGAGTTTGAATTCCTCATCCTTTCAGACCGAAAGGAACGTTACCTTCTATGAACATGTTTCTGGATCCCCAGGGCAGCAGGTTCTCTGTTCAACGTTCCCAGGTCCTGACCTTGCACCTACACTCAGGACACTTGATGGTGGCAGGGGCTCTTCTTCCTGAAATGCAGCCCTATGCCATATTTGGCTTTGTAACCCCCACACACCACTTAGCTAGGAAGGGGATGGCTCTGACTCAAAACTCCTGAGTTGGCTGCTGCAGGACCAAACAGCGTGAGAAGATTCTAATCTCGGATCCGAAGGGCTTTCAGCATACACCGTGCAGAGGTGCCAAGTAGGCCAGGCTGCCAGCGAGTGGGCGGAAAGGCACAAAATGCTATTTTGTATGTGGAGGGTCCCAGGGCTGCAAAGTGACCTTGATCCAGTACACTGTCCCTGCTCTGTAGCATTCTGTTGGCGAGGCCTATCTCTCTGCTTCTGCCAAGGGGCCACCTCTCAGGCCTGGCTGACCCAGACCTCAGGATCCAATGACAGAGAAGAGAGTAAAGCAGGCGGAAGGATATCAGTACTTAGGACAAATGTCTTAGGTCTTTTGACCTAAGTGTCTCTTAGACAGAGACACTCCTGCCGTGAAATGACTCCTGTGAGCGTAATTCAAGAAAGGATCAGAAGGTGGCCTGAGTCTGAGCCAGTGAGGTGGCTCATGGGTAAAAGCACCTGCTGCCACATCTGAAGGACTAGGTTTGACACCCAAGGTCCTCGTGGGAGGATTGTCCTCTGACCTCCAAGTGTAGATTATGACTCATGTGCTCAAAAACATGCATCACAACACAATAATAATAAATAAAGTCCTAAAAAATAGAGTCAACAAGGCGACTCCTGGGGAAAGGCGCCTGCTGCCCAGTCTGACTACCTAAGTTTGATCTGCAAGTCATACGTGGTAGGAGAGAATTAACTCATACAAGTTGTCCTCTGATTATCACATGTGTGCCACAGTGAGTGCACACATACATGTATACGACACACACACACACACACACACACACAAATAAATTTAATTTAAAAGTTAAAGTTAAGTCAGGCGGTGGTGGTGTACATCTTTAATCCCAGCACTTGGGAGGCAGAGGCAAGTGAATCTCTGAGAGTTTGAGACCAGCCTGATCTACAGAGCAAGTTCCAGGACAGCCAAGTTGTCTTGAAAACCAACAAATAAATAAATAAATAAAATAAAAATGTTAAAGTCAAAAAAGTAAATTAAAAGCAAATACAGAAAGGAACACACAAAACTCAATAATGTGGGATCCCATCATCTCTGGTATACTTTAATTTGCTTGTTTACACATGGGCTCTGTGTGTACATAACAGTGGCATGAGCCATTCCTAAACACAATCTGGTACCCAGACAATGACAGATGCAAATGGAAGCGAGTGAGCAAACCTCCACCCGGGGAAACAAACACAGCCTGGCACGACTCTGGTCAGATGCCCCACAGTCTCATGTTCAACACCTTGCGACAATAAACACTTTGAAAGATGAGATGATATTTTCAACAGGAGACCCAAGCTCTGAGTGTTTCTCAAAAGATGTCAGTTTCTCTGCTTTCTCTAGAGAGTCAGACCATTCTAAATGCTGTCATGAACAAGGCTTGGAGGTAGCAGCCTGATTAGCCCTCATCCTTAGCATCTTACAGGTCACCTCCTTTAGTTGCCTCCACTTTATGGACAAGGGCAACAAGGCTCGCACGCTGGTCAGGTGTGTTGGGAGTGATGCCGACATTCAAACCTACATCTCACGGCTGCCCCAGTCCAAACACTCACCCATGCCAGCTTCCTTGCACAGGAGGGAAGGCATGCTCCTGAGAAGACAAGGGTTCCAAGGAACTTGGGGTGTAGCTCAGGGGTAGAGGGCTTGCCCAGCATGCACAAAACCCCGGGTTCCCAGCCCTGGCATTGAGAGAGGAAAAGGAGGAGTACCATGAGTATGCACCTAAGGGTTTCCACACGTAGTCAGTTTAAGGTTAAACCTGGTCAGACCCCGTGAGAAAACAGTCTGGGGCCTTGACGTGACAATGAACTTCTGGGTGCACTATGGCTGCTCCTTTCTGTTGTCACATGACACCTGAGGGACTTTCCCTGGACCAGCTCTACCATCTACCCCAGGCCCATTCTCACCTGGGGGATGGGCGGAAACTTCCAGAAGATGAAACGTGTTTCCAGTCCCTACCAACTCACCACAGCCCGGTGGTGACACCTCACTGCCCTGTGGGGACAGCTCACTGCCCCACGGTGTGACACCTCACTGCCCGCCTTCCTTCCCCTTCGGTAATACCACCTCACATCTTACATCGTCATTGGTCAAGTTGATCTGTAGCTCAACAGGTTATGAAATACGTATTACAGATATATCTTTATATTAAAAAATTACTTAGTAGCTGGATGTGGTGGCTTTAACATTAGTGTATTTTTAATCTCAGCACTAAGGAGGCAGAGGCAGGCAGATCCCTGTAGGTCGAAGAACAGCCTGGTCTACGTAGTGAGTTTCAGGAAAACTGGGGCTGCATAGTGAGACCGTGACTCAAAAAAAAAAAATTAAATTAAATTTTAAAAAATTAAATTAAAAGGAAGAAAGAAATTACTCTTAACAAAGCACCTAACAACCCGAGCTTGAGTCAGGACAGGCAGGCCAAAGCTTATTAGGCAGTGCCCTTACCCAGCTCTGCTGGGTAAGAGGCGTCAAAGCAGCTACAAGGGTGATCACCCAAAAGGCCAGAACTCAGTGTGACAGGCTTAAGAGATCACCTGGGAGAGGAAAGGGGTTCTCTTATCAGAGACTGGAAGCTTGCCGTGTAGGACATGTATGACGAGACTTCTAACCCTAGCAGTCTCAGTGAAGGCCACATAATGCCACGGATGGAAACCAGGAAGTGCTGTAGAGAGAATGTCACGGCTATTGAATGTCGCCCTTTTAGGATGGTTCTGTTGATGGGACAAGGAAAAGGAGGCGGGACCAAAGTCATGCCACTATGTAATATGGATAACTTTGCATGGTGGCGGTACGTAATATGGGTGGCTTTGCACGCTGGCTGGTTTCTTGCATCAGAGGGAGACATTTTATTTCACTTCTTAATTATCATAATCTTCTCCAAAGGTAAAAATTCCTTGTCTGTGGTACTTGTTCTATGATCCTATGACCCTGAACCTTATTCTGTCTTGACCAACAGTAGGTGGGCAGGAAGGCCACAGGACCAGCGAGCGCTCCACAGAATGACTCTCTCAGCTCAAAATCCATTAAATAATATAACACCTGCTTTCCAGCTGGACTCTTGTTGTTTGTTTGCTTTATTTTTTATTTTTATTTTATTTTTGAGACAGGATCTCACTCTACAGCCCTGGCCGGTCTGGAGCTCGCTATGTAGACCAACCCGGCTGGCCTCAAATCACAGAGATCTGCCTGCCTCCGCCTCCCTAGTGCTGGGATTAAAGGCATGCAGCACCATGCCCCCTGGCTCCAGTTTTATTCTTAACAGAGGGAACAACCCTGTGAGGTGGTATTTAATACGATAAGCCAAGAGTTTTGCTTATAAAAAGTTAAGTTAGTGTTCTAAAAAACAAAACAACAACCAAAAAACCCTCAAAACAATTTTCACACACCAAAGTGCAGTACTGAAGCTTTGTCATCAAAGAACAAACGCCACAGTGACAATCAAACCATACCGCCCTCACGCAGGGGAGAAGAGGGGGAAATGCGGTTCTCGGTTTCTGCTCCAAAAACCAACGCATAACAACAGACAGCGCAGACAGAAAGATCTTACCACTGTTCACTACATAAAAATCATCCAGGCACTGCAGGGCTGTGGCCCCCGCTGGGAACTGGTCATAGCCAGGTGCAAATGTCAATACTCCAAAGAGGAAATGGATTACTATAGCCAGAGAGTGTGTTTTAGGCATCGGGGTGTTTAATAAAGAACCTGCCAGAGATAAATGCTCATCTTAGGATCGGCCGTGGGGAAACACTGTTAAAAGGACCACTAAACTCTCGAGAGGACCAGAGCCAGGGAGACCACAGCAGAGGGAGTCCTGCAGCTCTGGCTCCCTTTGACCCACATCAGGAGGCTGTCTGCTGTCCCTCTGCTGAGCCTTAGCTCCCCCTCAGGGAACAGATTAAGGTCACGACTTGCCAGAGATGAGAAGTATCTGACAGGAATGGTGGTGCTGCCAGCATGGCTGGCATCACCAGCAGAGTCTGAGGCCCGAATGTTTCCCAGACTCCACCCCACCACAAAAGTGCCTAGGAAGCATGGTCTCTGAAGTGGGACCAATAGTTCAGCCAGTCACTGGACAAAGTAGGTGGAAAATCTATCAGCCATTGTCCTCCTGTCCCCACTTGTTTCTCTTTTATTTCTTGTAAGTTTCTCGCTTCAAAGTCAAACTAGAGCTCTGGGGAGGAAGCCCGGGAGAGAAGGACTTCAGGTACCAGTACCCGTATGTCCCGTACCAGCCCAGCAAACCAAAAAAGGTGCCAAACACCTTCTGGATCAGGTCGTGGAAGTAAACGGCTGTGCACAAAAACATCCACACCCAGATGAAGGTCAGAAAGCCCAGGGCGACAACCAGGGTGGTGATGGCAGTGTGGAGGCGGTGGCTGCGATCTGTCTTCACCTCGTCCAAAACGGCCATCTCCTCCACGATCATGAGTGCACAGAAGGTCAGTAGGAAGGAGTGGCCTGAGATGTCAAAGCCGTGCCAGAAGCCCCCTTCCTGGTGGCACTGCTGCTTGCTCCGATGCTCCTGCCTGATGCCCTCCAGGGCTGGGGACTGGTAGCAGCTGCCCGTGTAGTGTTCGATGTTGGAGAAGAGGGCTGTGCAGACATACCAGATGGCCGTGCCAACGAGCAGCGTGCTCAACCGCCGCAGGACCAGGCCGGCCTTGCCTGTCAGGTGGTAGTTGGTGAGGGCAATGAAAGGCAGGAGCAGACAGACTGTCCAGGCCCAGGCCACTTTAACAAAATACCTGACAGAAGAGGAAAGAGCAGGTGAAGAGGAGACATGGCAGACAAGAAATGGCATCATCATGCTTTGGGTATCTAAGTTCCCAAGGGAAGTTAAATGAAATCAATCAAAGTTGTCCACCCAAATAGCTACTGTGTTTGAATCCTTAAAACATGCTCACCCATGCCTTATTTCCTAAGTAGTGAAATTAGTTCATCCATAACTGAGCCATACAGATGTGTCATGACAGAGAGGAGTTCGTAAGTGGTAGACTGGGGTTCAAATCTAGGGCCTGCAATTTTCCAGGTGTGCTACTAGCTCAGGACAGTAAGACCTGAGCTTCTATCAAAAGTCAGATATGTTTACACACATTCACTTCCACAGAAACATTCACAATTGGCTGAGGATGGTCTTGAGCATGGATGGATCCTCCTGTTTCCACCACCCTAGTAGCGCCATTGCAGGTATATGCAACCACACCCAGTTTTTCTTGGTGCTGGGGCTCAAACCTGGGGTGCATGCTAGGGAAGCACTCTCTCCACCGAGTTGTACCCCCGACCCTCATTTGTCCCATTTTACAGACAGATTCTGGGGGCTCAGAAAACTGAATACTTTGCCAGGGCCACATTCTCTCTCTCTCTCTCTCTCTCTCTCTCTCTCTCTCTCTCTCTCTCACACACACACACACACACACACACCAGCAAACACAGACTGAGCTACGCTTTGCCCAGCCCCAAAGCCCTTTTCTACCGCACTAGTGGTAATAAGTAAGGCTAGTAAGTCTGAGAGAGAGAGAGAGAGAGAGAGAGAGAGAACACATAGCGAGCTTTACTTCAAGCTACAGGAGCAGGGTTCCAATCCTGACTCTGACTCTATTGTATATCTTCAGGCCTCAGGTCCCTCAGCTGATGAAGCGGAGAGCACCAAGCAGTTCTCAAAACCTCTCCCAGGTTCAGATTCAGTGAGTCTCTGTCAGTTCCCCCTCATCAATCAGCACCATGTCTTGAAACAAAACATTAGAATTCATGACTACCCCTAAGCAACAGACAAGTGAGCCAGCCTGTTGGGCTACTGTTCATCAGGCCAGATAAGACAAGAGCTGTCAGGTCTGCCTGCCTGGCACTCATGAAAGGTGGCCGACCTGGGAGTGAGCTGCAGAAAACCCACAAAGAGATCTCAGGCAGCTATCACCCTCACGCTCTATTCTTAGCCCAGCCACTCAATGGGTAAGAATGAAGGGGAGGGGGGGACAAGGACAGAATGCCTTGTCCCTAGCTTCCAGTAGTTTCTCAGACACCACCAAGGAGACTGCCACTAAAACCGTCACAGGCATTGATAAGGAAAGCCTTGCCAAAGCTAAGGGCTGCCAGAAACCCGATCCAGCTGCCAAAAAAAGAAAACAGAGTTTTAAGCAGATAAGAAGAGTTAGGCAGACTCTCAGCTTTCTGGAAACTCTGGTCTTAGGTTCACAGCGAAGGAGCAATTTCAGCTTTCAAACTCCCTGTACTTGCTGCAACGGGGTTTTGTGCAATAAACTTTCGATATGGGTGTTTTAAAAGACTAGGAAAGAAGTGGGAGGAGTTAGAGAGATGGTCCAAAGAAGTCCACCGGGGTTGCTTTCCTGGGCAACTGCCATGCACTTTAAACGACTGCGAAAAGTCCAAGGAGATCCAGGAGAAAGGTCACCGGCGCGGGAGGCTTCACTCTTCTACCAATACACGGCCGGGAGGGAAAAACTTTGCAGGGTGGCGGGTGGGTCTAGAGATGGTCTTTAAGACAACGGTGGGGATTTCTGTCACAGGGGTTAGGAGAGGGGTGTCCGACAAGCCCGCAGAAGGGAGGTGACATCTCCCCAAACAGGACAGGGGCCAGAGCCTACCTGGGAGGGAGGAGGCAGTGAGCAGCAGCTTCAGAGCACCTCAGACACACTGCCCCCTCCAACCCAGCCCGTCACCAGCCCGCCCGTCAACTCGGTCCTCCTATCGGAATCCTCAAACGTAAGGCGCTAGTGTTATTCGCCTTCCCAGGGTCCCCGCGTCGCCACAAGCGCGCGGACGCGGCTGTCAAGGCAGGCATCCCTCCCGACGGCTCGCCCACCCAGGCAGCGCCCGGAGCCTGGTGCACTCACACGTTGAGGACGTTGCGCTTGTTGCTGAGGTAGCACTCGGGCAGCGGGGACAGCTCCTTGAGGACCGAGCCCGCCAGCATGGCAGCCACCAGCGCCCAGGGCAGGTTGCGCCTCACCGCCGCCCTCACCAGCGTCCCGCGGAGAAGCCACGCGCAGCGCTCCAGGTGCTCCATGCCGGACCTTCTCGGCCACCGTCCGCCTCCCGGAACCCTCTCGGCCACCGTCTTGCCCTTCTCCCGGGCTGGTGCCACCAACTGCCTCTGGGCGCATGCGTGCTTCCCGCAAGCTCCGCCCCGTCGAGGGGAGCGCGTACTCCCTCTAGTGGCCGTGAGTGGCCTTTGCAGAGCGCAGGTCTGTAACTACCTTGGCCGCTCTTCCTTCTCTAACCTGAGCGCCCCCAGGCGACATGCTGCCAGTACTGCAGGTTTCACTTGACTTGCGCAACCTGCTCTGCTCATGTTTGTGCGGGTTTTCCTGGAGGTTGAGGAAGAATAATTGTAGCTCACTAGGAATTAGATCAGGAGTCAGGCATCATTTGGCTCCCCGTAGAGACACCTCCATGGGATACTTGCTTTTCTGATCTGCAAACAACAATAAGAGGATCACTCTTCTTAAGAGCTAGTTTGTGAACTTAGGAGTTCCTTATGGCAGTTCAGATAGAGGGTTTGGGGACTTTATTTTTATAAATTTGACCAGAAAGTAATTCCACAAAATAATTACTAAATTTTATTTACTTTTGTTTTGTTTTGTAGAGACAGGGCTTCTCTGTGTAGCCTTAGCTGTCCTGGAACTCACTGTCGACCAGGGTGGCCTCGAACTCAGAGACTGTCAGACTTTGATTCCCGAGTGTTGAGATTAAATGCATGTGCCACCATACCCAGCTTTACTTTGTTTTTTGAGGCAGGGTTTTACTCTGTCATTTCTAAAATCCTCTTGCCTCAGCCACTCAAATGAACTAAACTTAAATTTTAAATTGATAAATGTATTTTTATTTAAAATATGAATATCTTCATTATTCTTCTATTGCTGTGGTAGAATACCATGACCAGGGCAGCTTATAGAAGAAAGAGTTTATCTGGGGCTATCATAATCATTTTTCTATTGCTGTGAAGAGACACCATGATCAAGGCAACTCATAAAAGAAAACATTTAGCCGGGCGGTAGTGGCGCACGCCTTTAATCCCAGCACTCGGGAGGCAGAGGCAGGTGGATCTCTGTGAGTTCGAGGCCAGCTTGGTCTACAAGAGCTAGTTCCAGGACAGGCTCCAAAAAGCTACAGAGAAACCCCGTCTCAAAAAACCAAAAAAAAAAAAAAAGAAAGAAAGAAAAGAAAAGAAAACATTTAATTGTGGGCTTGCTTTCGGATTCAGAAGTTTAGTCCACTGTCATCATGGTGCCCAGCTTGGCAGCAAGCATGGTAGACATGATGCTGAAGAGGTAGTTGAGAGCTACACCGTGATCCACAGGCAAAAAAAGAGAGAGTCATTGGGCCTGGCATGGGCTTTCGAAACCTCAAAACCTACTCCTAGTGACACACTTCCTCCAACAAGGCCACACCTCCTAATCCTTCCAATTCTATCAAAGGTTACATTATTTTGTGACTAAGCATGCAAATGTATGAGCCTATGGGGGCCATTATTACTCAAATATCACAGGGGTTCACAGTTTCAGTAGGTGACCATCACTGCTAGGAACATGGCAGGCAGGCGTGGTACTGCAGTGTTATCTGAGGCCCACATCTTGAGACACAACCTCTGGGTGGTGGGGGGAGGAAGGAGAGAGAAGAAGGAGAGAGCTAGCAAGAGAGAGCTAACTGGAAATGGGTGGGTTTTTGAAACATCATACCTCCTCCACTGAGGCCACATTTTCTATTCTTTCCCAAATGTTATACCAACTGGGGGCCAAGCATTCAAATATATGCACCTATAGAGACCATGTTCATTCAAACCACCATAGTAATTCTGGATAGATGGCTCAGCATGTGTGGTAGTTTGAATGTAAATGACTCCATAAGCTCAAAGAGAGTGGCACTATTAGGAGGTGTGGCTTTGTTGGAGTAGGTATGATCTTGTTGGAGTAGGAATAATCTTGATGGAGTGGGTACAGCCTTGATGGAGTGGGGTTGGCCTTGTTAGAGGAAGTGTGTCACTGTGGAAGCAGGCTTTGAGGTTTCATATATGCTCAAGCCATGCCCAGTGTCTCAGACCACTTCCTGTTGCCTGCACAAGATGTAGAACTCTCAGCTACCTCCCCAACACCATGTCTGCTTGCATACTGTCATGTCCCACAATGGTGACAATGGACTGAGCCTCTGAACTGTAAACCAACCCAATTAAATGTTTTCCTTTATAAGAGCTACCACGGTCATGGTGTCTCTTCACAGCAATAGAAACCCTAACTAAGAGAGCATGTAACAGTACTTGCTGCCAAGCCAAATAACCTGGGTTTAGTCCTTGGAACCCACACTGTGGAAGGCAAGAACTAACTCCTGTAATGTTCACACAAGCACACAAATAAACACATGTAATAATAGAACGACTATTTTGTTGACTGAAAATCCTGGGGATTGGGAGTTAGTGGAGTTCACACGAGGTGTTGGTGACTCACTCACTCGGTTTTGTGCCATAGCTAAGCTCTTAGCCTGTGAAGCTGGGTGTCAACATCAGGGATTCCCAACCATGAGTCCTTCCTTAGCCACCATGTTATAGAATCTAACACTTAAAATCAAGATAAAAACTCAAACCCATCACTTTCTAATTATTTTCCTATGTTTTGTTATTATTTCTATTCTTGCTTATCTACTTAGAGTCAGGATCTCATTATGTGGCCCTAGCTGGCCTGGAATTCACTATGTAGAAAGGACTGGTTTTGAACCTGTGGCCACCTTCCTGTCTCTGCCTCCCTCTTGGGTGCAGGGATTACGAACATAAGTCATCATACCCAGTTTATCTGTGTTCTTGAACTACTTGCAACTGTTGTGCCTGCCAGCTATGTCTGTGTGCTCTTCCCAGCTTCGTGATATCACACAGAAAGCTTGAAAGCAGCCACACGTGTTTACACTAGAGAAGTTGGCAAGTGCCCCAAAGCAGGGCTTTATTTCACCATCGACTGCCTTCACTGGGACACGACTTCATTTGCCAACGTGTGGTTGAATTGAAATCGTAAAATTGCAAGCATTGTAGGCAGAGTTTTCACATCCTGACTGCCCACTCCCAAATAACCACTCAGAGTCTTGATAATAACTGTAAATGCTTGGCTGATAGTCCAGGTTTGTTATTAACTAACTCTTACATTTAAATTAACCCATATTTCTTATCTATGCTTTGCCATGTGACTTGGTACCTTTTCTCGGCATGGCATGCCCATCTTGCTTCTCTCTGCATCTACTGGCAACTCCTCTGGCTCTGTCCTTCATCACAGCATCCGTAGTTTGGCTGTCCCGCCTATTCTTCCTGCCTGGCTACTGGCCAGCCAGCTTTCTATTAAATCAATCTGAGTAACAAATCTTTATTATTATTTATTATTATTATTATTATTATTATTATTATTATTATTTTATAGTATTCAGCCTGCATGTGTGCCTGCAGGCCAGAAGAGGGCACCAGACCCCATTACAGATGGTTGTGAGACACCATGTCGTTGCCAGGAATTGAACTCAGGACCTTTGGAAGAGCAGGCAATGCTCTTAACCTCTGAGTCATCTCTCCAGCCCAGTAACAAATCTTCACAGTGTACAAATGGATTATTCCACAGCAAGTCATATTTACAATAAAGAATACAGGGGGAGGTAGAGCTACAGCTCAGTTGGTAGATGCTTGGCTAGCGTGCAGCGTGCATGAAGTCCTGAGCTCTGCAGGCGTAATTAAGGAAATCCACAAGAGACCAGAATAAAGGATAACAAATATTTATTTGAGGAAAAACTGACAACAAGGGTGGAGAGTCACAGTCCTCTGCTCTGTGGATGCTGGAAGCTGCGAACAGAACTCTGACCACCACCCAAGAGAGCAAGCACGCTTCTGTCTGTGCTAGCAGTCCACATGTATGACCTCAGACCATGCTCTAATGGGACAGTGTTGGCGGAGACTGCTCATTTGTTCCCGGCCATTCAGACCTGAAATAATCACACAAAAACTGTATTAACTGAAACACTGCTTGGCCTATTATCTTAGGCTTCTTATTAACTAACTGCTACATCTTAAATCAACCCATTCTATTATTTTATATTTTACCATGAGGCTCATGGTTTACCGGTAAGGTTCTGGCAGGTGGCTCACGTCTTGCTCCTTCAGCAGCTACAAGGTGTCTCTATGACTCTGCCTTCTTTCCTCCACTATCTGCTTTGAATTCCTGCCTTACTCTATTCTGTCCTGTCGTAGGCTAAAGCAGCTTTATTCATTAACCAATTAGGGTAACACATATACAGAAGGACTTCCCACGCCAGGTCAGTGCCCAAAGGGTTCTTGGCTGAATGAATTCTCACACCAGGGTTCAATGCTTAGTACTGCATACACTGTGTGTGGTGGTTCATGTCCATTCCATCCCAGCAGAGGGGAGGTTTAGCCACATAGTGAATTCAAGGTAAGCCTGAGATACATGAGACCACCCTTCCAAAAAAACAAAATGAGTGTTGTATGTTTCATTGTTTATAAGTCATATGTACCACTCTTTATACTGAGAGATTTTTAATTTTAGGAAGCTTATATATATATATATATTTATATATATATATATATATATATATAAATACTTATATATGTTCATCATGAGAGCTCATTATATTAAACATTTACCAGCAAGCCACTGTTTGTGATATAGTACACACATAAGAAACAGATGCAGCATCTGGGCAATTATATATGCTAATAGACACATAATTTTAGATTCAGATTTATGACAGAACATGCTTCTACTATATGTGAGGCACTGTGATTATTTTTACTCAATTACGTAACTCAATTTACCTGTAATCTCAGTACTTGGGAGGAGGCCAGGGGGAACCTTACAAGTTCGAGGGCCGTCTGGTCTAGATGAAGAATCTCAGGCCTACCTACAAGGTCCTATGTTCAATCACTAGTACAAAAAGAAATCTGGTCATGCATGACCCACTGTTTGTTTTATGATAATATATGAAAAAATTGAATTTTAAAATTTAAGACATGGCAGAGCCATGCCCTGCATTTCCCACCAGAGGGGGACAGAAGACAATAAGTAGGCCGTGGAGAGACGCCTCAGTGGATCAAGTGTTCACCACTC